TATAATTCATTTCGACAATGGAAACGTAGACTTTGGGCCAGAAGTTTTTGCTATAAGAGGCATGAAGATATGGTTGAAAAAGTAATAAAGAGAAAAATGGAAGAGGCTATGGGGAAACACAAGTACGCAGATGCTTTACTCAAAGAGGCATGAAGAGATAAGAATTAAGGGGTTCTTTTCTTATCTTGTTGAACCAACCTAGTTTTTTTCTAGTCTTGTTGTTCAAATTTAGTTTTTTGTTTTTTTTTTAGATGCACAAGCATGGGCATCTGAATATGTGAAATGTTATTACACTAGAGGATTTTGTATTTTTTCCATAAATAACATGTACAAATGAGTATGATCCAAAATATAATAAAACGAAAAGAAACACAAGACATTCAACCCCATTTACTGCTCAGGGGTCTTTTATGGCAACTGTCTGACAACAACAAGGGAGTCGGACCTTACTTTTTTACTTCATTTGCTAGCTTTTTAATAGTAACGACCAGTAGGAGTCACACAAAAATATTGACAGAATTTAAAAATGCTTGGTCAGAATCAGAAACTCAATTAGTCTATTGATTTTGTTTCTGTTTCTATTTCTCGTTTCTTTTATAAAAGAAGAAAAACTACAGCCCTTAAAACCCTAAAGTAACTGTTTTGGAAAAACAAAACATGATAACAAACATGCCAATTTGTCTATATGACTCTGAGTTCGAGATAGACCCACCTACAGCTCGTAAAATTTGACTATATAATCTTTTGTAGAAATAATGTACAAGATTCCACCACTATATGTAGTTTAAAGAACCATACATTCTACATACATATATATAATATTTTGAGTTTACTTATATTTTTAGAGTTTACTTATTATTAATCTGGTTAGAGAAAGAGTAGCAAAGTTAAATTATTAACTTAGAAAAATTCTACAGCCTCCCTTTAAAAATATTACTTTAAGTGCTTGAATGCTAAGAATTTTACCACTACTTGTAGGTCATCAAGTTGTGGCGGTAAGAGCACACTAGCTAGATACATGCATTATCATAATATATATGATTATCATAACCATTGAAACATATTTTGATATAATGTTCTAGAATACGTGATTTCTTTATGTTAAAAAGTGTTTAGGTTCTACCATCAAATGTTTCAGGTTTTACTATAATTTCTTTTGTATATTATGTACATATAATATTCTATCATCTTCTCTTTCCAAATAACCATTACTGTTGGCTAATTCTCAGCCACTTCGTTGCCCATGCAATTGTCGAGGACAATTGGTACGCGCAAATTAAACAAGTGAATCCACAGGCCACAGCGATGGCGCCTCCACCACAAAAGCTATTTAAAAGTCTATTGATTCTGTTTATAGTGTATTGTTCGCCAGAAGGAACGTAAACAAATTTTCTTGTTTTTAGGTTTTTTTTTCTTCGGCGAAGAATTTTTGTTGCAGGTTAAGTTCATTTTGTTTTTCTTTCTTTTTACAGACTCTCTCACATGCTTAGATAGAGAAACAGTCGTTCTAATTAACCAATGTTGTCCTTTCTATTTAAGAATTTTTTTGGATGAAAGTACAACATTACAAATGAACAAAACAAAGGATTACTTTACATAAACAAACTGCGCTAGTACTGTATTATTATGCTACATAGCACAATTTACCAAAATTAAGTTCAAATTAATATATATGTATATATAAATGTAGAATTTTCCAAAGAAACAAACTTTCGTACAAAATAAAAAGATAAATCCAAAAGTATGAACTTGAACATTGGCTGGGAATAATATATTAGTCGACAATATATTATATTTTTTCAAAAGGAAGATAATTAAAAAGCCGTATATACCGAAGGAACGAATTATTTACAAGTGACAAGATTATTCCAAACTGGTTGAATTAAACAGATCAATGCACCTGGAGCGCAGAAACCATATCGCTGCTCAATATGCGTCTATAAATAGTGGGTTCAAAAATCTCCTCATCATCATCATCTCATCTCATCAACGACTCTTTGGGTAATTCTCTACACACAGACATATATGGATATCATCATATAGGTGTCTTATATAGTGCCCTGCTATAAAATCCAAAATCCTATAGTTTTCAAGTTCTTGATGTTCATGATGAGAGGTTTTTTTTCAAGTTCTTTTAATCCCATACTTTCAATCGTAAATTCGATATTGATTTTTAATGGTTTGAGAGGCATTGATGGTGTTGACAGAAGATAGAGAGCACAGATGATGAGATACAATTCGGAACAGTTTCTTTGCATCTTACTCCTTTGTGCTCTCTAGCCTTCTGTCATCACTTTCTATTTGCTTAATCTTTTTCTTTCTTTTCATTTTTTATTTAACACTCTTCTATAAAATTCCATATAAGTTTTTAAGTCCATTTTACATTATTGACTGAAGAAAATTTGAACTTGTAAAGACCAAAACACCAGTTTGGTTTCTCTATATATAATACCAAGAATCAATCACTACAAAAAGAGCGTATTAAATCACTTAAATTATAGAGAAATTTGGCTCTATAACCATAAAAAAACTAAAATTAAGAAACTAAACAAACTCTCCATTCTCCCTCCTCCTTTTTCTTCATCTCTCTAACCCATGGTTAGTTTCTTAATTTATGTTTTTTTGTTATTTCATCAATTCACCTAAATTATATCATAAAAATAAATGATACTACTTTAATTATTTATCTACAAATGACACACAAATATATATATATATATATATATATTTACATTTTTAAATCAGTTATAGTAATAATTTCCAATAAAATGATGTATGTTTTTTAATTTATATCATTTTTTTAATTTGTATCATTTTAAAAAGAATTGATATGATTATATACGTTTATATCGATTATAAAATTGATTCTGTTATTATTTTGGTTAACATATTAACGTGATACAAAATTTACATCAATAAAATTGATGCCAACAAAAGTTAAGATAAAACAACACTTTAACCACTTGTTAAAAAAAAATCTTTCAATTAAAAAAAACTACAGATTAGGGAAGTAGTTACTATTTTATTGATGTTGATTGGTTGGACTGTAGATGTAAAAAAATTGATGTATGATTTAGTTTGTAGCTTTATTGGTATAGTTGTATGTTTTCTACTGTAGAAAAATATTAGAACTTTTACAGTTTTTAATTTTTACTTTTAGGAAAAAAAAAGTGATTGGATAACAAATGATGTAAAAATGTTATAAGCTTCCTTTTATAAATAAATTTCTACCATGATTTTAAAATTAATTATTTAAAGTTTAATAAAGCTAAAAGGTAAGTTAAAGGCCAACCAATCATCATCACTGTTTTAGTTTTTTTTTTCCCTTTAATTCAATTGAGTCTTTCTTTTATAACTATTAATTTAACTTCAACAAATTAAGCATCTTGTGTTGTGGTGTTCCTTCATAGCTTTTTGTTTATTAGCCTGGAGGTATTTTCAACTTATGCAATGACCAAGACTATCTCCAAAGGAAAGTGTAACGTATAGGTATACTTTCTATCCGGATATTCAAATGGACCGTAAATTACGAGTTTATGTATGTGTGGCCACACGTTGAAGTATAGTGAGACGCCTTTAAACCTGTACAAGAAGAGAGACGTTGACTCTACACCGGGTGAAAGAATACAAATCTTATGGAATAGTAGCTGATAGATAATTCTTCAATGAACATTGTCAACTTCACTACTAAATCCAATCAGTTTCAAACCATCAACAGAATTTGAAGAAGAAGAAGAGTTTCTTTTGAAGAAACTTTTGTGGTTAATTTTGATTAACTGTTTAAGGATTTTCATTTTCTCTGAATTCATCTTCGTCTTTAATTTTAGGGTTACTTTCTATATTTTATTTTAGTCTTTATTCTTCTTCGTGATATTGTATGTCAGGAAAAATATTAAACAAAATTATTTAATTTTTATTGATATTATTTAACATCAGTAATGTACTAATATTAATATTTAAATTAGTAATTATGAATGATAAATAAACTTTTAAAATCATTTAATTTTGATAATAATTTAGTTTCAGTTTTTAATTAATGATATAAATAATTAAAAGCAATTATTTTATTGATGTCAATACTCACATCACTTTAAAACTGATGTAATTTAATATCATTTTTGTAATTGGTACAAATTAGCATTACTTACAAGAATTAAAGCAAATATTAACTATTTTATATCCATTATTTCTAAAATGATGTAAATTATTTGCATACCACTTTTAGAATTATGTTCTTAAACGATGCGAAAATTTTCAACATTACTTAAAACTAATGTTAATATTTAAAATAAATAATGTTAAATCAAAACTGACATGTAAATCTCTAATCTAACATCTAACAATAACATTCAATCTAAAACCAACAATCTAACATAACATTAATCTAACAAATCTAATATGAAAGAAAAATTACATGGCAGAAGAATAGAAAAAGAGTATAATTTCAATGTTTTTGAGGAGAGAAAAAGCAATTTCTAAAACATTGAGAGAGATAACCGAATTGAGAAGGAGAAGAATTGACGAAAATATATATTAAAAATTTCTAACTGGTCGAATCCGTCAAAAATCCATCGGAAATATTTCAATTTAATCAATACCTCAAATATATGTGTTTCCTTTTTCATGTAAATTTTTGGGTTCCTGACTGATTCCTAACTGAAAATAATTCTCAAAAGAAAGACCATTTCATCAAAAATTTCATTTTCAGTCAACAAACCATAAATCCCAAATAGGATTTTTAACGGATTAACAATGTATATGTACCATTGCATTATATATATTTAAAAAAATATAATAATTTAGATTTTAAAATGTGAAATATATTAAAAAAAATAGAAAATTATATTTAAATATTATTATTGAAATAATAAAAATTAATTTAAATAAATTTTAGCCTCAAAACTATAAAATAAATAGCATACAAAATATTTATAAATTATTTTGAATTTTGGATATTTAAAAGTTAATACTCTACCAAAACCTTTATATAAACATAAAAGGACTAGCATTTAAGAGAGTAATTGCCGCTTCTAATTGCTCTCTCAAATCATTCATTAACAATTGTTGATGGGCTTTTCAGACCAGTGAAGACCTATCTTGAAATGGAAAGTCCTTCAGGTTAAATTCAAACACAATCTAACAAGTAGACTGCATATCTTCAGAACATTTATCTTGTTTTCGAAATGTGGGCTTTGCTTCTCCTAAATCTTTGCCCCAATAACAAAAACATTCAAACATGTCAAGAACCACTTCCCTAAAGCCTCTTACAAACAAGTACAACAAAATTGCAGATAGTGTTTGGAGATAGAGAAGCAAAACCCAACATCATTGGGGACAAGGACACGATCCTTCTCATCCAATCATGATTCCTGGGGAGACTCCTGTGGTTTTGGTGGCTGGTCAGGTGAAACTTGAGATTCGTCATTGACATCAGGTTGTTGTTCATCAGACGGTTCAGGAGGAGGAGGAGCGGTGGTAGCAGTTTGGTCGTCTTCTGGATGAAAATTTATAGGGAACTTAGTAACTCTAGGCTTGTCGGAGAGTATGTTCCTCTGAACCTTATCAATCAAAACCTTAGTTGGAGGCTCTTCCCTGAGTTGCTCATCTTCGTAGTCATTGTTCACGTAGTATCCAACTCTCAAAAACTCTTGACCCATGTAAGAACATGTCAACAACAGCACCGTCACACCTATGATGTCTTCCTCCCGGATCTTCGATGGATCCGGAGGATCAGCCTGTAAAGTAAAGAGAGAGTAAGATCTCAAGACTATTGTTTAGACCAAAGATTGTAAAAATAGGGAATATGTTTTACCTGCAAGACAAAACGGTAGTTGCCAACATTAACAGGCCCAACAAGGACACTCTCTAGAGTTTGATCATAAGTCTCATCTTCTGCTGAGCCTACGTAGATCAGCTTCCACTCCAAATCTGTACCAGAATCAAATCTCACGTCTAAGTTTTAAAGATCCGTTTCTATTCACTAAGAAAGTGATCAAAAACCATATCAAGGTAGATGGCTAGCTTCTATAACGTTATTGTAGAAAAATAAGTAACAGAAAGGTTTCTTATCAAGTTTTTTTTGTTTCGCTAAATTTCGGACATTCATAAATCACGACAAGACCAGTTCGTATTCCCGCAAACACTAAGAAAGTGGAAACAGAACCGTCATTTATCAAGTTAAAATATATTCCAGACAAAACCAAGATCCAAGAAATGCTTTAAAACTAATATCTCTATCTATTTTTTTTTTTTATCATAGGTTAAAATTTTACTTACAAAACCAACACCTCCAAGATTATAACTATATGAATCCACCATTAAGCTTAATAAGATCTATTGAGGGGAAAACACTAGCAATTACAGTTGTAACCAAAATAAAACAGGGTGCAGCCTAAGGTCACATATACAATTTACAGTTCTCTACAGTAACAAAAGGGAGGGTAGTACCGTCTTTGAGAGAAGTTAGGCACTCGTAAGAGATCTCGAACTGAAAGGGGCTAACAAACGGCGCTGGATTATCCAAGGCGGTGACGTTGGTGATGTTGATGGCACTCATTATCCCTCCAAAATCGAGAAACCTTCTTCTTATTAGGAGAAGAACGCCGCCGTATGCGTCGCGAATCGGAGAGTAGTTTAGGGTTTTTCGAGAATTTTGGTGGAGGGGAGGGAGGCGATTTGAGTTGGAAGGGGGAGTGGATTCAGTTTTAAGGAGTGAGTGTTGTTGTTCTTCTAACCGGTTGACGTTTGGGTAGGTGACTGGTTATCACCGGTTAAATGAATTGGCGGGAGGTGTAGGAGGGAAAATGAAAAAGAAAATAATAATTGGAGGTGTTGGGTTTTGGTTTTGTTAGTGACTCTTAGCAAAACGACGTCACAGAAATAATGGGCTAGGGAAACATTAAGCCTGAATGTTTAATAAGGCCCATTTGGGTTCGACGGTCTTGGGTTAAGAAAATGGAGGTGTTGGGTTTTGGTTTAGCTCCTAAACGAACCAAAAAGGTTAGCTGATTTGGGGATACATGTTAGTGTTGAGACTTGGAGTCCATTTTTTTCTAGTTTGCGCATGGAACGTCTCTGAATTCTATGGGATTCACATCCGTCTTTTTACACATAAATTTCGGAAACATAACAGTGGTAACATACTGGAGATTTGGACCGGGTCTTAGGCTCTCAACCGTAGAGAAAATGGATTTATAAACACATGTAGGGTTAAAGAGAAATGGTATACATCTTGTTCAATCGACAAACTACGTTCATGCAGTGCTTGCTTCCTTCTCTCCACGCTTGCCTGTAATATTGCATTACCTACGGCCTATAACAATATTCGTGAGCCAATTTCAATGACTTAAAAAAGAACAAAAAAATTTCTTCAGTAGATGTCTGATTGCCTCCTTTGCAGTTGGTTGTCCTAGTTCAATGGTTTTGTGGTCTTGAACCACTAAACTTTAAGAGCAAGAGTCTAAATAGAAGACATCACTATTCTGAAGTACAAGATATATATATATGTTCAAAATAAAATACCCACATTAAAATCCACAGTGAGAATAACACAACCATCTCATATCTTCCCATTCGATGGAAACACCTGGGCATAGAAGGAGCAACAAATCTTCAAAAAGAGAGCAGAAGAATAATCAAAAAAGAGAGCAGAAGAATAATCAACTTACCCTTTAGTTTCTTCTAGATTCCACAGCTTTATCATATTCGAAGAAGCTCCACCAAGAAGGAGGGCAGAAGATTGTCGACTAGTTGTATTCCATACTTTCTTTAAATATATCTTTATGATAAATTATAGTATACTTTTAACAAATTTCATTAAATTTTTGGTGATGTTGTACTAGTTGTAGTCCATAATTTATTTATTTTGAACACAAAAAAAGAACAATGTATGCATGGGCGAATCTAGGTGGTCTAGAATGGGTGCAGCTGCTCCCACAAAAAAAATTACAACTAAATTGTTTTGCATTGAATTAACAGAAATCTTGCAGTCAAGTTGGCTAAAAGCCTAAAACCCTCTCTTTGCCCCCACTAAACTCAGTTTCTAATTCCCATCTGCCCCTTTAGTTTAACTGTTTTTATATTTTTTTTACTTTTTTTTACTTTTATAGTTTGCCATTTTTATATGGGTTTTATTTCCTTTTATAAGTTACGTTATGTTCTTTCAAATATTTTGTGGTCATTTATTCTTTTCATTCAATAAAATTTTGCTTTAATAGCTAGTTCTAGTTTTTTTTTTGTTAATGTTCTTATTCTTTTTTTCTTTCATTTATAAAACATCATTTTAGCTGTAATATTCAGTTACTTTTTCTTCTAAATGTTATTTTTATTAAAGATCTAAAACACATTCATGTAAAATATCCAAAAAAAAAAAATTTATGCCCCCACTCCAAAAAATTTCTAGATCCGCCACTGAATGTATGTATATCTGATATCGTTTTTAGCTAAAACGGAACAGCTTAGTTAATATGTAAATGATAAATAAGCGACGAATCCCATCTCAAGAAACATAAAAGAATTAGTATACAACCATTCATTACAGATTTTATTAGAGTTCTTATATAAAATATCTGAAAACACGTTCTAAACAAGTCTCTACCAATTTTTATCCAGACAAATGCTTTACCTACCAAACGCAAGAATTGTCCATATTCTAGTCATATGGTCTGTCGGACTCTCGTATTTTTAAAAATAATAACATTAATAAATGACAAACAAAACAAGAATAAGAAAAGTATTCCAAATGCCTTGACTGGAATCACATTTTGATTCGCAAGTTGTGGAAATATTTTTTCTCAAAAGAAAATTCGTGGAAATATTTTACCGCTAACAATTAGCCATATTCCCTGTAACAGCCGTGGGAACGTTTTCAGGGCCTAATAAGGCAAATTTTTTCTTTTGACAACATTTAAGACAAATTTTTCTCTCTCAAATGATCTCTTCATATAAGATTTTGGTATGTTCACAGAAACCTAAAATGGTAGATATAGTGACTAATGACTATGTTTATAATTGAAATCTAAAAAGAGAATCCACACTAAAATCTAGAAAAAAAGATAATATACAATCGAACTCTTTATGTACAGTATGCATGTAAACATATATAACACTAACTAATGCATTTTATATATAAAATGGGGCCCAAAATATTGACTAAAAATTGACTATTTTTATAATTGAAATCTAAAATAAGAATCCAAACTAAAATCTAAAAAAAAGATATATACAATCAAACTCTTTATGTACAGTATGTATGTTAACATATATAACACTAACTAATGCATTTTATATATAAAATGGGGCCCTAAATATTAACTAAAAATTATGGGGCCTAGGCCATTTGCCTTTCTCGACAAGGGGTACGCATCACTATGAACAGCCAAAAGCTTCATAAACGCTTGACCAAACAATTTTACTCATCAAACTATGATGTGTATAAAGTTTCTAAAGTGCCGAAAATATTTATTTAGGAACGAACCAATTCACAACAATTATTCGGTACATCGTAGCATCTCAGTAATTCTACGGACAACAACAAAATTCAACGATCTTTCATTTGATCATCATAACAATCAATTCCTTCGAAGCATAATGAAAAATTGCATTCCGGATTTGGCATTGGCAAGTTTTGGTAGTATCTCTGGACACTTCTCCTCGTAAAGCTCATGTGTCCTCTCCATTGCTTCTTTACCAAACCTCGACTCAATAACTCCACCAAATGTAACTTTGTTTGAAGTTGCCAAAAACTCTGGATCCAGAGGAAACTCTTCGTTGGCATGACTAATTCTCTCAAAGGCTTCTATCGTGAAACACCCGTTATCTTCAATGACACTCTTGAATTCCGCAACGTGTGCCGGATAGATTGGGAAGTTGAAAGAGTCCAGCTCTCCTTGGTTGATTAATCCCTACGCAAAACATTGACTAGAAAATGTCATATAATAATAATAATAATAATAATAATAATAATAATAATAATAATAATAATAATAATAATAATAATAATAATAATAATAATAATAATAATAATGTTTGTCTTACTGTGCAAGTACACATTAGAGTGACAATATTTTATTACCTCCTTAGCTACTTCAATGAGGCAATTTCCCAAGTGATCAAGAAGCATTCCTTTCATTGTTTCAGACATTTTAACTCCATCCGGTACACATGATCCAAGAAGAAATAGTAATCCCCCGGAGACGAGTTCTTCTCCTCTTGCTTTCAAGAAACTTCCCATGTCAATCTTGAACTGATCAAGGTATGCTTCCGTGACCTCGTCCGAGAAACCAGTGCAATGAATGTCCTTGTTCCATGCAGGAGAGTTGCGATCTGCGACCCCTTTAGGAACTTGGGACAACCAATGAAGCGAGTAAGAACAATGTCCCACATGGAGACTGTCTCGGGGAAGAACACGGCCAAAGAAAGAACCGGGAACTCCAGCAACAAAGTATCCTTTGGTCGGTGGGAGTGTTTGGAAAAGGGTGTTGAAATCATTATTTGAATGATCGTTAAAGAGAACTTGAAACTCAATGTTATCGTCCGGATTCTTTTGAGTTTCCTTATGGTACTTTTGTCCCACGGCATCAATTATGTTTTGTACTGCAAGGAACGTGTTAGGTCCAGTGGAACAGCCAAAATCCGCTATGTTATAGCGATTAGAAGCTGAGTTGATTTCGAGTTTGGTGGAGATTGCTTCACTGATCTTTTCCTTTGCGACTTCAAGAAACGCTCTCTACAATAATCAGATTCCATCATGAGTAGGCAATATGTTTATTAGATTCAAAGCTTCCATGCTTCAAATCAAGTCAAAGCTATTAGTATATCTTACAGCAACAAAAATGGTTATCTCCGTGAAAGTGATCCTTTCAAAATTTTCAACAAGTCTAGCTGGTGACCAAGAAATGAAAGGAAATAATTCATTTTTTATCATTTTCTAATTTTTTTACCGAATAGTTTTCATTTTCTATTCTTTTTCATTCCTTGCATTCTAAAAAAATATATAACAAATTTATTTCTCACCAAGATTGATAAAGAATAATTTTCCTCTTCATTCTTATAATTTTATTTCTCTACATTTTTTTTCCTATTCATTTCAAATGTTTATGTGATGGTCACAAGTTAAACCCGACATTCATTAATTTTAGATATCTAAATTAACATATATTTACAAGATGTATAATTGAAAACAAAACTTTCAGCAAGATTTCATAATTTTTTCCGAAGTCTTTTTGACCAACCCGAAACGAAATAACTAACCTGATACGTTGAATGCTGACTATAGCTGTTCGGACCCTTGCCTCCAGCCATTGTGTACGTCGGAGCCATCTCTTCTATATCTTTCTATGTATATTTAGCGAGTGTGATGATACTTGTGACTTGTGAGTTTGCTTGTTGTTAGTGATATGCACAAATGGTGTTTTTATATATATCCTGATATAATTGTTAAACGAGGACGCCAATATTGACCGATGCCTGAAAAAACGACTTGCAACCCAAAAGCTATTTTATTATTCTACATCCAACGTACGAAATTTCCGAGGCTAACTTGCACATTTTCCACGCACGGAAGCATAATTTTATTTGACTGGGTCCCGACTTCTTTATTTGTGACGCTATACAAAACTCATATAAAATGTTAGAGGAAAAAAAATATATTTATTATTAAAATTATAAGCTATAAGAGCATGTTCAACGCAACATTCTTAGTGGGTGCTTATTTTTTTAATTTTTTTTTTAATTTTCATCCTTACAAAAAAAATTAAAAAAGAATAAATTGCGGATCACCACGTGTCGATGAGACCTCTGCACAGTGCAAGTATCACACAAAAAGGAACACTTCATTTGGCACAAGAAACACCAGATTCTTGTTTTCTGTGGATCTTCTCCTCTAAAATCTCTTTTAAGCACTCTTTCTTTTCTCCCATTAATCATGTCCTCAGTTGCATGTGTCGAGAAAATCTCTTACAAAGATGTGAAAGTAGTACAATTAAAAGACTAGTCTATTCTTTCTATAATTAAAAATTATTATTTGAAATCATTGTTTGATAAATAGTTAAAGACTTTAAATATTGTTGTATATTTGAAAAAAATTTAAATATTTTTAATATATACAATCAAATGATACTAATTAAAAATATTATCTAAAATAAATATTTAAATTTTATAAAGTATTAAAAACCTCATCTAACTCAATAAACTCAGTGTTGTGAAACCTTTCAAAATCTACATGAGGCATCGAAGTGAAAATACTCCATTTATCGAAGCAAATACATTTTCCACTTTGGTGAAGCACTTGAGATAGTTTTAACTTTTATATGATGAAATGTGAGAAAAAATCAAGGATTTGAGATGAATGTATAAGAAATTACGCTCACGCGTTATAGATGCATTTATAAGTGTCTCATCTACTAGATAAGTGATTTTTTTCAGTGTTTTCGCGCCCGATCCAGATCCGCGGTCCAACTAGTAAACCCAGTGATTCGATAAGTAATCAGGTTTTGGTTTTAAGAAACATTTACGAATTAAAAACCCGATAAAATCCGCTTAAAAATTTGTAAACCCGGTGACCCGGCTATCGGTTAAACTATCGGGTGTACCAATGAATTATTTTTATTTAGTTTTTTGCTAGGTTTTTAACTATTTTATTAAATGTATTTTGTGTACCCAAACTAAAAAGTTAGATTTTTATTTTTTTAATTTTTAGCTTTTTTTTCATAAAATTATTGTTTTTCGTGCTATTACATACATTTTACATCTCCTTCAATTTTCTTTTAAAACATTTGTTGATTTCGTATGTGGTAAATAACATTTGATTTTAATTCTAGGTTCTAACTTTTATCATATAAACTTCATATTTATTCCAATCACATGCTTTTATTTTATTTTCTTGATTTTACATGTTTATAAATAAATAGTGTTTTTAATCAAATTTATTGATCTTATTTAATTTTGAAAAATCATATATAATATTGACTAAACCATTTACTGATTTTGATGAACATTTCATTATTCCTCTTACAGAAAATATATTGAATAATGATAAATATCTAAAACTTATGAGATTTAAGTCTTGTTATGATTTACTATATGTCTCAACTCCTAATTTCTTATATTTTTTTTTAAATAATCTAATCTAATTTTAAATATTTTATATGTGAAATAAAACAAAAATAAAAAGAAGAAGTTTAAATATTTTTTATTTATACGAAATGTGATTTTTTTCCTATATTTTCAATAGTTAATATATAATTATTTATTAAAATTAATTAACGTATTGATCCGTGGTTCACCCGTGGTTGACCCAGTAACCTGGTGACAGCAAAGTGTCCGGTTCAGTATCTGGGTCGGATTTATTTTTCCATATGTTATTATCACAATTATTTTCATTAATAAATATGACAATGCATATTAGAAATTGATAATATGGGTTAAATGTAACACAGAAAATTATATTAATTTCTATTTTTTTCTAAAAAGTTAGAATATGATAATAACTCATATATTATTATTGAAATAAATATATTCAAATAGGATATTAAAGAATAGAAATATAAAATTTGACAACTTTCAAAATATTATTTAAGCATATTATTTATAACCATACAACTCTTATTACTAAACATATTTTATACAAGCTTTTCAAAATTATAAATTTTTAATCATAATACCATTTGTTTCCTTTTGATATCAACATATTTAGAAATTTTTGTTTGGATTTTTAATAATTGTATAATTTTTCTATCAATTTTATTTCTATACAAGTTGGTTGATATAAGTTAACCAAAAGAAATAAATGGAAATTTATCTAAATTATAACTTCAAAATCTACATATCTATTTTAAATACAATTTAAAATAAAATAAATTATTTATTTTATCTCAATTTTATGTTTAACTAAATCAAAAATTTATAAGAAAATATAATCTAAAAATAATATTATCTAAAATAAAATATATTTGTAAATATAATTTAAATTTTAAATTTTTATTGCAGCACATGATATAGAAAAACACCTAGTTATGGATACAGATATACATTCATTATCTCAGATTAAGTGTACACAGTATATTGACCACACAAATGAATGTATCAAATTGAATCCATATAGAAACACATTTGCATGGGTCAAAATTTTGTAACATTTAGATGGTTTTAACTTTTAAGTGATGAAAATAAGTTGTCAAAAAAAAAAGTGATGAAAATATAAGAACAAATAGACCTTATTAAAAGTATAATATTCAAAACTGGGAAGTTTAACTATACTAAAATTTAAACTAATGAAACATAAATCATGCGCATAATAGTTATGGAAGTGAAACAAATAAGATAACATCAAAATAATTTAACTCTCAGTCATAGACGAAGCTCAAATCCTTAAAATTCAAATGTTATCACATACTTTCAACAAAATTACAATGAAATTATATAAAATTGGTTTTGAGTTGTTTAGTGTTTTCCTTGATTTCAAATTTGGGTGAAATCTTTGTGTCGACGGATGACATTTCACATGCAATTTTTAATGCTTCAGAATATATTTTTAGGCAAATTCGAGAACAGATGTACTATTCTATATACTATAGTAGCACGTTTATTATGTATTGGAAATATCATATATTACATGAATTATTGCTATGGTTAAGTATTCCAAACGAAGACAGCGCAACATTAGGTAGCTATTATTAATATATATGAATACCGTATATGATGTTTCAAAAAAATATGAATACCATATATCTATATTTAGTTTATTGAATTAGTCACATTTTTCTTTAAGCAAAATGAAATAGTACGACGCATGTTAGTATAAATATGCATAGACTGGTCCACAAATTAATATCATCAAACATCAAGTATCAATCAAGAGAAGAAGAGTGAGAAGAAGTGATAGATCATGGCAACTACCCCAAAATGGATCATGGTTGGAGGAGAAGGTCCTGCGAGTTACAACCAGAACTCCTCGTATCAGGTATATATTTCTATAAATGATTTTGAAACAATTTGGTTGATGATTGGTTTGACTTAGGCGGTAAAAGTTTAGTTGCAAATATTTAATTGTAATTAAGTTGGTTGTAAAATTAAAATTATTACTCTACATATTACTGTAAATATTTTTTTTATAAATATTGTTTCATAGATTTTCAAAGTTCACTGTTATTTAAAATGTGATATGTAATTAGTATTTATGTTATTTAAAATATTTCAATAATTTTAAAAACACCCAAAATTAAATTAATTATTATAGATGTTTTTTTATGATTATTTAATTTACTTATATCATAGATAATTTTTTATTTTACAATTTCTAAAGCCTATAAAACAAAGATGTAGGGGTTTTACCTAAAATACATAAGAAAAAAGTTAAAGTAATTTTTTTTTGCTGTAGTTTTAAAAGTAATACTAAAGCATGATTGATAAAAATTAACAAAAATTTGTTATAGGCTTTAATTTTTAAAAATAAAACTACAATATGATTAGTGAAGTTTAATACTTTAAAACAAAATAAAGCTAAAGTAGGCATGTATTAATAATTACCTCTTTAATATGGTTTTACAGGGAGCATTGCTGAAAGCCACAAAAGAAAAGATAAGCGAGGCTATTTCGTCCAAACTCAGTCTTGATTTGATCTCTGATCGCTTCAGTGTCGCAGATTTTGGTTGCGCGAGTGGACCTAACACTTTTGTGGCAGTCCAAAACATAATAGATGCAGTTGAAGACAAGTACCGCAAGGAAACCGGACAAAACCCGGCAGAAGACATCGAGTTCCAAGTCCTCTTCAACGACTTTACCACCAACGATTTCAACACTCTCTTCCAGACACTCCCTACCGGTAGAAGATACTACACTGCTGGTGTCCCAGGTTCCTTCTTCGAACGTGTTCTTCCTAAAGAGAGTTTCCACATAGGAGTTATAAACTACGCATTCCATTTCACCTCCAAAATCCCCAAAGGCATCACGGACCGCGACTCTCCATCGTGGAATAGAGACATGCATTGCACTGGGTTCAACGCCGCGGTCAAGAAAGCATATCTTGATCAGTACTCGGCCGACACCAAGATTTTATTAGATGCTAGAGCCGACGAGCTAGTCCCCGGGGGATTGATGTTGCTTCTTGGATCGTGTCTAAGAGATGGAGTTAAGATGTCCGAGACCGTTAAAGGAATGGTGTTGGATGCTGTCGGAGCTTCTCTTAACGACCTTGCTCAACAGGTATATATATATATATATTCAGATGTTACCTAATTAAATTAAAAACGTACTACTACACCATCTAACACTATCTTTCGCTTTTGATTAAAAGGGTGTTATCGAACAAGACAAGGTGGACTCGTTTAGCACGCCACTCTTCTTAGCAGAAGAACGTGAGCTGAAGCATATCATAGAGGAAAACGGGAGATTCACAATCGAGGCGTTTGAAGATATCGTTCACTCGTATGGAGAGTTTACACTAGACCCCAAGGTTTTAGCCGTCTCTACTAGGGCCTCCTTTGGAAGTTTCCTATCACAACATTTTGGAGAGCAAGTCTTTACCAAAATCTTTGATCTCATCGAGGCCAAGCTACGCCAAGAGCTTCCTCGCCTCCTGAATGCCAAACCCGGAATGCAATACCTTATCGTGCTTCGAAAGAAGAACTAAGGATCCAAATCTGTTATTGTGATCAGTCATTTCCAGTATTGTTTCATTTGGTGCTTTGTTTTTGCTTCTGTGCGAGTGTGTTTTTGTTATTATCTATACAAAATAATAAATGTTTGTGTATGGTTAATGATTTAGCTGATGTTGTTGGTGGATGATATGGATGGTGTATTTTAATTCGATATTTAATAAACTGCGTATGTTCCGGATGGCTTATTATAATATCAAAAATAAAAGTATATTCTGAAAAGTTTGTTAGGGCATCTCCAACTCAACTCCATTTTTTACTCTAAAATAGAATAAAAGAAAATATGGAGTAGAAAACACTCCAACCCTATTCCATATTGTACTCCATAATAGAGTTTACTCCACAAATGGAGTAATCTGTTTTTTGTTTGTTCATCACTCCATTATGGAATGGAAAATGAAATGAGGTTGGATCATTTTTACTCCATATTCTCTTTTACTCCATTTTGCAGGAAAAAAATGAAATTTTACATTGGAGATGCTCTTAGAGAGTCGAGATCCCGTGAAAGACATGCATGTGTAAGTGAAGCCCACGGCAGTATAGAATGAGCACATGGGGCGGGCTCCATATCTGTAACACACTCAAAAATTACTAACACAACATAAATTCCTAAGAAATCCTAAAACGAAACACGAAATCAAAATTAATGTCTCTTTATGCAATACCTTTCGTTTTAGTTGTTATTGGATTAAATATTATATGCTCCGGATACTCCTTGTCTTAAAAGTCTTTCATATTTGAATTTTTAGGTTATTTGAAAATTACAAAAGCAACGTACAATTAAGAAAGAGACAAAATATAGGAGAAAAAAAAAGAAGAGGGAGGAAGAACCTGGAAAAGCATAAAACGAAAAAAAAATAGATTTTTGTTTGTTAAAATGAGACAACTAATATTGTTCTATATATTGTCATCTTAAAAAAACCAATTTTTGTTAGTTTTGGACACTGACTATTAAAATGAACTCGATGTTCAAGGATCATATGTGATGATTGCATAGTGTGGAGATATGACATGTATTGAAGGTGTATAAGAGTTACAATAGGGCTTAAGTCTATGTGGTTGCTAGTGTGCACCGTGATGGAGATAAGCACTTCTCCTTTGGAGATCAATATGAGAGCAGAAATCATCTTTATTTGCTTGCTTATATACTTACATTTTCAAAATCAAAAACCTCTTTAAACATTATATATTTCGAAACTGAAGTAATACTTGTGTAAAATATACTACTATATTATATGTAAACGCCTAAAATGTCAAACTCACATAAGTTTCGATCAATTTTTTTAAACATTAAACATTGGACATGATTACCGACTATTGAAAAGCGCTATATCTCTAACAAGACTGGGCCGCTAAAATCACCAATAAGATTTATAGAAGTTTATGATTTAAATCCCCCTGTCATTTGGAACGGCCAAATAGCAAAATTGTAAAAAACGAGACGACTCTTCAGGACTTTGGTCCCAATTTCGAAAACATACCCATGAGAATAAAAACTTGGAAGAATTAGCGTTCGGGTTCACTGATAAATAAGGAGCTCCATCAGTAGTAGTTGACAAAGAGAGATGACAACATTGCCGAGGCCTGACGTTGGAGGAAGAGCCAGCGACAGACACTCCTTGAAGAAGCAACGTCTTGCTTCTGTTTCTGAAAGCGAATCCTCGGAGGAGGACTCAAGTTCCGATGAAGAAGATGACGTGGGAGACTCAGACGATAGCTGTGAAAGAGTTCCACTGGTGCTGAGTGACGATAGCGATTCTGATGAGGAGAAAAGGCTTACGGGTCTTCTTCGATCAAGAAGACCAAAGAGGCTTTCACCACCCAAATCCATGACCCTACCGAACTCGGATGTTCTTGATTGCCCATGTTGCTTCAAGCCATTGAGGAGGCCTGTCTTTCAGGTTTGGTTTCTTTTTTTCTTTTAGTGCAATAACTTTTTGTACAGGGCCGGCCCTAAGATTTTACGGACATGTGATCATTTCTATGTAAAAAAAAAAAACTGGAGACCTAATATTTTTTTGAGAGTCTTTATTCATATAATTTATTCAAATTTTTTGGGGGTCTGTGGTGAATGTTTCATTTAGCAGACCCAGGACCGCCCTTGAATTTTCTATTGTATGGCTAATAACTCTTTAGTGTTTATTGTGGTTGTAATAATGGGCATCTAGCTTGTTCTTCCTGCTGCACCAAACTGAAGAATAAATGCTCTTTCTGCGCATTGCCCATTGGGAACATTCGATGCAGAGCCATGGAGAAAGTCATAAAAACATGCTTAGTCGCATGTTCAAATGCGAAATACGGGTGTAAACAGAGCACTAGATATGGCAAAGAAGTAGCAGACCATGAGAAGATGTGTGTTTTCGCTCCATGTTCATGTCCTGTACGAAACTGTAACTTTGTCGGTTCCTACAAGGTTCTTAACAACCACTTCCGCGCTACACACAAACGGAGTCCCGGTGAAATCATGTCGTTTGTGTTTAATAGTTCTAAACTATTTGGCCTACACCTGGATCGTATTGATGATCCGGTTATTTTTCAGGAAGAGAAAGAAGGTGATCTTGTTGTAGTTCAGGGTTTCAAAGGTTCCCATGGTGTGTATGTGACTGTGAAACGTATTGCACCTATTGCTAAAGAAATTCGTAAACTCTCCTGCAGTATAGCCAGGCTCAAAGATCATACCACACTACGTCTTGGGTTCCAGGTGAAAAATGTTCACAAAGTGGGAGAAAAGAAAGAGCAGCCTGAAGATAGTTTCATGCTGATTCCATCTCATATGTTGGGTGGTAATGACCTAAAGATGCAGATTTGTATTGGGGATGAACATGTGTATACTCATATCTGAGATATATTTAGGTGACGTTTCTGGTTTAGTTTCTTGTATGGAGGCGCAGGTTTTTGGGTTTTGAAACCATCTTCTATTGTTGCCGGATTGTCATGTACGTGTAGTTTTGTGCATTGAACTTGCAATGTACTCCCTCCGTTTCACTTTATTTGTCATTCTAGGTTCTTACACACAGATTAAAAAAATATTTAATTTTGCATATTTCCAAGATAAAAACACAATTACCTATACACCTAACCACTTTTCAACTAATAGAAAAATAGAATATTATATAAAACTAATAAATTTTGCCTCGAAATCTTAAAACGACACTTAATTTGTGACAAAAAATAAGTCTAGAATGACATATATTTTGAAACGGAGGGAGTACTAAGTTTATGGAAATTGAAATATTTTCATTCTTAGACTATTCCAAATGGTACAACAAAATAAAAACATCAAAAAATTAATGAAAATTGTTCAAAATTTATAATAGTTATGTAATTTTCAATGCAATAATGATTTATTTTAATAAAACTGGATTTTAGTTTTAAACATTCTTTTAAATTCTATCAAATAAAAGGTGTTATTAATGATATGTAAGAAGTTAAAAATCAGTACTCCTATATTAAAATTGAAGAAAAAAAACTATTGGAGTAAAATCACAAAATCATTTTGAGTTTGCATCATTTTGAAGAGAAACATGGTGCAAACCATTAGAGATGGTTTTATTAAAAGGAAGGATAAAAACAAGTTCAATGCCTATTGTTTAGATAGAGGAACATTCAACTGGTACTTATGTTTGGGTGATGTGCCCGCATCATCAATTTACAACTCTGGCTGGTGATTCACGAAAACACATTGTTTATACACTTCCAGGCCATATGTTGTTTCTTGGTTGATATTGTTTAAGTGTTACCTAATTGTAAATGGTTTTTCTACCACAAAAAGTTCAACTTTCTTTTATTCTTTTAAAATTATAGACAATGGTGAGGTGACACCCGACGAGGCACGGACGCTGTTCGATTATATTCAGGACCATTCCTACGCATGATTATGTGGCACTATATACCTCAGACAAGTCATCAGGGTACAAAAGATAATTTTATTTTTCTGATTGGTATAACTTTGAGATGTGGTTAAGTTTTTTTTTGTGTCTTAGGCTACAAGCAATATCAGAAGCTTGGAGATCAAGGACTAGAGAAAACAAGGCAGATAAAACAGAGAATAAACCATCAACATAAGCGATTATAATCCAAATCTCTAGACTATTAAGTATCAAAAAGCAAGAAAAAAAAACCCGAAATAATAAATTGATCTCTACATCAAAACATCATTATCGTCGACCAAGAAAAATCCATCAGCACAAGAGTTGGCCATCTCCTTGTCCAGACCAACTTTGAGATCTGACATCATCATCTCAAGGCTCTTGATGCGTTCCTCTTGTTGCTGGATTCGAGACCCATTAACATCATCTGATTTCTTTCTCTCCAAGGAAACTTCCTCAAGCTTTAACTTCAAATCCAAATTCATTAGCTCAAGTTTAATCACTCGTTCCTCAAGTTTTTTAACCAGAGACACGTCAGCATCTGCTTCCTTCTTCTTCAATGAAATCTCTTTAGATTTTAACTCTAAACAGTTCTTCACGAAACCAGACTCAAGATCCTGTAAGCGTTGTTGGATCCGAGACACATCTAGATCTTTTCCATCTGTAGCTTCTAAAATGTCAATGTAGACTTGAATGATGAGTCTGTCCTTCTCCAGAAACCCTTTTTCTTGAATTTTTTTAAGAGGCAAGAACTTTTGCTTCCCCCAGGATGGATTCTCAGCACAGAAAGGGTGTCCACCAAGCCCTGTGATTAAACACAAAATTCTTCACAAATCACATGTTTAAGTTGTAGTTGCTAACTACAACTAAACTCAAACATAAATTTAGACTAGGTCCCTAGAACGTAACACTCTCTATCTGTATATAATTTATTTCTCTTTGAAACCGACAAGTGTACTCTCTAGTGCATAAACGTTTGTAAGTTCAAAACACAAAACAACAATTAAACAAAAAAAAAGTTTTATTACTTGAAGATCTGTAGAGCTCTTTGTGGCGTTGATTCATCACGATAAAGTAGTAACTAATCCTTCTTTTCCATCCACTTTGCAATAGTTGAGTATTCGCAACGTTCAGGTACAAAGACAAGTGATCATCACAGTGATCACCCTTTGGATAAAGGGAGAGATACCTGAAGTAATATGAAAATAAACAATAAATAATTGAACCTTGTTTTTAGTTTGTGTTACATATGATAAAAAAAAAGTGAAGCCAGAGAGTTTAAGCAATATAGTTAAAAGTTATGATTCTTCTCGTTTTACCATTCGCATCCGCCACTCTCGAATGTCGGAGACTCTATGTATTCTTCCTTCTCAGAGAAGTTATCTATCTCTAACCTAAAACAGGGCTTTCGAATACACATATATTTGATCAAAATACTGTTGTAGGTTTTCGTACTTCGAGCAAAGATGAAACTCTCTGAAAATATTTGTTTGATATAACACACAAACTTCTTCTGTTTTATAGACGAGGCTAAAAGAAAAAAAAGAAGAACTTTGCCGTAACCCTAGGACAAAGGAGACGGTAAATATTCGTCTAACGATTATCCTTCATTTATCCTTTTTATTAATAAATATAAAATTACATTCATTAAAAACTTTTTGGTAAATAAGTGTTTGTTGCATATTTTAAATCTCTGTGCATCACTAAAAGTCTAACACTCATTGGTATGCCCTTTTGGTTTAGGAATTTTTTTCTTTTTTAGACAAATATGTATTCCTAAAAAGAAATCGGATTTTGAATCTGCTATAAATATGAATCTACAATATTGTAAAGTTATCCATTAACATAATAATATACAAATCTTAAACATGTTTTTTTTCTCAGTTCGTTTTGTTCTCTTTTGCTTTCTTCGAATTAATTTGCGTTTGTTCACCACAGTTTAAACTAAATTTTGTAAAAAAGGTTGCTAACACAAAATGTATTTTATCAGATTCGTAGGTGCACTTCCATATCGAAATGGGTATGTGCATTTTCATATCACCACAAACTGGACGTTCTCCAGTTTATTGGTGTTAAATGTTAAACATCTAAATAGTCTTTTTAAGTTAGTTTTTGTGGCATGAATTGATAATTTCTCTAGAACTTCACTCTAAAGTTTCTTTTTACTCAACTTGCTTGCGAAAGCATGTGCTCTGATTAGGGTGTTGGAACTACTAGTGTTGAGCTTCACTAATTTACAAAGTCTAGCTAGGTTTGTTACATTGAGCTTCAGTAATCATGGGTTGAAGTCTTACATGTCCTTGTAGAGTATTTCTTTCACATCACTTATTGTTCCTCACTTTTGTCCCTTGTTGTAGTATGATTAGAAGAAGAAGAAGACTTAGAGGTGTCGCCCCAAATATTCAGCCATTTTTTTACAGAGGAGGCAGAAGATCAGCTTGAGCGTTTGATCTCATGTGCTGTAGCATCAACTTCTACCAAGATGAGAGATGTTGAGCTCAAGGCTTGCACCAAGAAGACCAACAATAGCTATGATAATATGGTGGCAAGGATGCGATGGGAAACATCATGAAGAGATAGCAGCTTTTAACTAATTAAGATTATTTTCATCCATTTAATACAGTTGTAGTAGTTGCAATAAACATTTCTTTGCAGGGTAAAATGAATTTTACCATAAACCCTGCAGAGTGATCGTATGGTTTCGACAAGTCGTTCTTTTTTTTTCGACAACTTTTCTTTATTAAAAAGCCCAATGGCTGAGTACAAACCAAAACTACAAAGTCAATTTCTCACCCAATTACAATCTCGCATTACAAAGAAAAACTAATGGCCCAAGTCCAATCTATTGACTTGCCCATATCCTTCGAGTGCCACAAGAGCTGGCCGCCACACATCACGTGATCTGACGGAACAAGGCACACATCAGCTGACTCTTATGCATGAGAGAGCATCGAACATGCACTTGAGACGCGCCACGTCAAGATGAGGAATCATTGTTACAGCTTCACAAGACAGAAAAAAAGAAGACAAAATAAGATCGAACTCACATCTGGTAGTTTAATGGTTCATTGAATGAGAAATAACCATGTTATTCCAGACTAGGGATCTATTTTCCTCCAGTATAAAATTCTTAGTTTTTCATGTAGCTAGGTGGTGTGGATCTCTCTAACTCCCAAGTCCCACGAAAAGTAACTGGATTGTTTATCACCAGTAGATAGATCTCTAGAAAATTAATCGGTTGAATCTCATTGTAACGAACTTCTTTGATTAATCAAAAAAAATAGGGAAAAAAACTAGAATGACTCTAATTAATGGTGTTATTACTAGAATGACTCATATTTTTTCAAAATTATTAGAATATTTTTCTGGTCAAGATTGCCCCTGACTGTAGTTATACAAAAAAAAATTAATTACCAAAATGTCCTTCAAATTAAGTCGTTGGCAGATTTATTTTTGAAAAATAAATCTAACACACATTAAGTCTGTTTTTTAAATCGGATAAGAAAATATAATCTATCATAAAAGTGGTGGCAGATTTTCTTGAAAACGTCAGATTTCTTCCTACGGTAGACTTATTTGTCTGATTTGTATTGAAACCCGATTTTTGAAATATATCTGTCAGATGACACAACAGATTTGTTATAAATGATAGATTTTTGCGATTGACTTAGTTTCTTATGGCAGATATATATAACCGATTTACATATGCAGTAGACTTGTTGATTTACGAGGTGGCAGACTCTTTAGTTTACGAAGTGGCAGATTTGTTGAGTTAATTATAGGTTTTAGTAAACCAAACTAAATTATTTCGGATTTAAACTTGGTTTACTGTAATTCCAAGTTTGGTTTATTTCTAGTGGATTAAGACCACAATTCCGATTACGTTAAGAAGTTGCAGTTTGAATTGTCTTCTGATTATATGGGCTTAAAGCTCATAGAGCAAGAAACATAGGATTAGCAAAGAATCTCGGTACAATTCATTGTTTGATGAACCAGTTCTTCCTTGCATTTCGATGGAGGAAGATGATAACAACAGTGATGACTGGCTTCTTGGTGAGAGGCGGCAAAAGAACAACGCTCCTGTCAATTCTTGTGTGAATGAAGACATGCAAAACTCAGGAGATTCATGTTTACCTAGACCCCAGTTTTGCCCTGAAGTAGAGATTTTTTCACTTCCATACAAAGTCTTGTTTTAGGAGGCTCGTATAATTTTTTTTTTCTTTATCAACTTAGCCTTAGGCCTTAGCTTGTACAGTTCCACTGATTGTAACAAACACAAAGATCAATAGTACTTGAATGAATGATCTCTGTATTCTTTTGACATCAATTAGTTTTTATGACTTATGGTCCTTGACAACCATTGAGTTCACGAGTTGACTTTAGTTATAGTTTTGATCAGACAGCACGAGATGGCTCATAACATTATTTTCAACCAAATCATTTGCATATATAACTGTTGGCAGTCGCAGTAAGACAACAGCTTGAAAGCAAGAATAAAAACATTGGCCTACATAACAATCCCATCAGCAACAAAAGGGAAGAGAGATTAGCCTATATAGCAAGAGTAGTACACACTGTGAACTAAAAAGACACAACAACACATCTTAATTTAAGTAACTATACCAAAAAGATACTCGAAAACGTTCAACCATTACTGTCGAAATTGTCATATTAAAATCAAATAGTAGAAATCATCAAGTCTTCTTACAGATTCCTTTTTTTTTTTACAATCACAAGAAGGCGCAGCGGTTCATTATCTTAGTCTTCTTCTGCTTTCGTGGCTGAAGAACCAATTTATGGCTGCATCAAACACTGTCTTCACATTCTGCAGAATCCCAACAAACTTCAGCCTCATCACAAGAGTGTAATGCAAAACAAAAATAACCAGGACAATCAATATTAAGTATGTCTTACCTGTTGTGTCTTTGAACTACATTCAGTGTAGACTGCATCATTCATAACAACATGTCTCATCACAAAGTGGTCATCATGGCAGAGACTAATAACCATATTACAAGAATCAGGTACCTGGTTTGTAGTAATGGGTACTGCACTAGGATGATCTATGAAGAATTGCTTGTCATCTCGAAGATCTGCAAAATCCCAAAAACATTCACCATCTCACATGGCCATACACAACTTTGTAGACAAAACAATAGCATGAGCAGTTCAAACAAGAGATAGTTTGGTTACCAAGTTTTGTACCAACGAGGATAATGGGAACACCAGGAGCATAATGCCTGAGCTCAGGAATCCACTGAGAAAAGAGCCAAAAATAAAACCTTCTTGGCGATGTTCTCATAGCTAGCCTTGCTGATGAGGGAGAAAGCAAGAAGGAAAACATCGCCACGGTAACTCAGAGGTCATAACCTGTTGTAGTCTTCTTGACCTGTTTTCCAAAAACCAAGCCAAGTCAAGACTATGTATTTCTACTAGCCCAAAGCCTATGTATTTGCTCACTAACTAGAATCAAAACTCGCAAGCTTTTGAATCTGAGAAGCCCCAAAATAAATTGCAGAGAAGAAATAAGATTTGATGACTTTGAGATGATAATATACAACTATGTTACAGCTCCCACCTCCCCCTCTATAATATTACTAAGTTCAGAGAGAAAGAGAGAAAACCCAAATCAGTTTTTGAAATTGGGAATTAGGGATTTCATATTGGGAATTAACAAAGAACTTCGAATAGCCTAGATTATATCTTACAGATTCAAGTAACTTGATTTAGGGTGACCAAAGTGGAACCGGCTTCTTCTTCCTCGAGAATGAGATAGACGAACTCGATTTAGGGTGGAGAAAAACAGAGACAACGACGATTGATGGTGGAATGGTTGTCGGAGATAAAGGTGAAGGAGACGAAGCCGGCTGTGACAGAAAATGGATCGTCGCAGATGGATGAACTCGGTGAAGAAACCCTACAAAATCAATTCTGATTTTTTTCCTTTCGTATAAAATTAAAATGTATTTCTTTCTTTAATTAGGATTTAATTATTAATAATGGCAAAATCGTAAAATTACACGTTTCAGAAGTCATTCTAGTTATTTCAAAATTATATGAGTTAGATTAGTCATTTCATGATATATTAGAGTTATTTCAAGTAATTCCTCAAAAAAATATAGAGAATTTTGAGAGGAATTGTTCTCTCTAGAAGAGAGTGAAGCCTCTTAAACGTGACGATTCATTCTTGAAATCTTACTTCAACATTTTAGAACGAAAAGCTTATGAAAAGGTAAATAACTGAGTTTGTCAGATAATATGGAGTCCACACGATATGATAGTAGCCACGTGAAACATTTTAAGTAAACCAAGTGATGTTGTAAAAGGATGGATCTGTTATCGTACTAATTAAAATTGATTCTTTTACAGTTTATTTAAAACTTAAGATTTCATATTTTTCACGCTCTACTTAACCAAAACCCCATTATAAACTAATATTTTTATATATTATATTGGTTAATCTTAGTAGACTCTAAATTCGAAATTCCTTTTGGCCAAAATATTTGACGGAATTCATTTTGGCAAAAAAATTAAATTTTTGCAGCTTAGTGGTAAGTTTATCTTTGTGGTTTTATTCAAAACTTGGTTTTTGCATTTTAAGCATGTTTTGGTAAAAAAAATTGATTTTGGTCATAAATTTTTCTTTGTAGGATTTTGAAAAAAACTTGCTTTAGCAATTTTGGAAGGAAAATATGTTTTGCAGATAAATTTAACGGGAAAATTTAGTTTTGTCATTTGGAAGAAAATTCGTTTTGATGGAACTCGGTTTATAGTTTTGGGGAAAAATTCTTTTTGTTGAATTTTTTGTTTTGATGAGAAAACTCAGTTTTGTGGTTTTGACGAAAGATTTGGTTTTGGTGAAAAAAAAATCGGTGTATAGTTTTAAGAAGAAAACTCGTTTTTATTTGCGGGAATGCATGGTTAAATTCATATATATGAATATCTACAATAATAAGGCCATAATTCTTTACTGTTTTAAATAAATAATCAACTTAGCTGACAAATATGTTCTTTCACTCTCTTAACCAATTTATTTTTGTCTAGTGGTAAAGGAGTTACAAGTCTGTCATGGGATCAATTCTCTTTGGCCATCTAATCTTGCTATTTAGATAGATTAATTATATCCGGATGTAAAGTCTTATGGGATTAATTTGAGAAGCCTTTGGAATCTCCATGATTATCAAAAAGAAAAAGTTCCTTCATTATCATTTTTTTTGTCTTGAATACAATTCCTTCACTTTCTTTTATCTGAAATAAATCAGTTACAGGTCCATAGCGAGAATATCAATAATATTTCTTTATGATTAGGAACCAGATACATTTCAAACTACAAATCCCTTACCTAGAGGTTATACGTATATACAAATATACAATGTACCAAAATTCATAGTAAAATATATATTAACACTGACACAAAAAAATAGAAATGCAGGGAAAGTACGCACCCGAAGGACTTCACATTCTTAAGACACGTGAAATCACACATGCATGTTTTCAACTTAAACAAATAAAATCTCCTCTAAGATAGAGTGCATGCATGCTTCACACCGTTCTGTTGCTTTTAATGTTTACTTTTTCTCATAAATGATTTTTTCGCACCTTCTTGCAAGACAATCTCAGTATGATTACAATAAGGAAATAATTGAGAACTCAGTTTATGGACATATATGGATCTTCTTCCTTTTTTCATTGACATATATTGCAACGCAGAACAGCGTTTTTATCATCATTAAAGATTAAACGAGTATTTGCCCAGAAAATGCAGTCTAGTGACTTTGTATTACTAGTGTAATAATTGTCACTATTTGAATTCATACCCGAATATTTGTTACCAAAGCTGTAATAGTCTAGTGGCATGACAGACTTAAATGTAATTAAGTTACTTGTATGTAGTGTGTTACTTTCAAATTTGTTCATACAATTAGTTGATGAAGGTATAATCCATAATGATATATATATATATATATATATAATGCATTTAAAGTGAAGTAATTTGGAGGAAAGCATGTAGTCCGGTTTATATTAGATCGTCCATGTGCACAAATGTATATATAGCCTTTTTTATTCACATATTCATACGAACTAGTACGTATTTTATCTCCTCCATTTGACATCGATCGAGCTGAAGGAATATATAAGCATATGTATCACGTAGTTCTTGTAATAGATACTTTGAATCACCGAATGTATAAACTGAAACTGAAGCTTCAACGATTTTGCAATAGTTGGAATCGATGCTATCGATGTTGATACACCTAACCGAATGAGTTTGAAAAGAGGCAGCACAACCCATTAAATGAAGTAATGAACAGTTCTAACTCTGGTGATGCTCTTCGAAGAGATTAGATGAATCTCAAGAGCATTAGAAGGCATGTGGTTAGGTGAATCTCATAGGAAAAGGTTTTACCATTAATTTTAGAATATTAGACATGAATCAGCATGCCCAACACTGTATTTGGGTCAGACCAACTTTTAGTGGACTAATACTCGGCCAGAATTGATTTGAATCGGACAGGACAATACGCAAATAATATGGACTTTTGATTCAAAAACTAATTATCAAGGAATTGAGGATTTCTTTCACTTTCCAATATAAGACTCCCTAATATTTTTTTGTCATATTCAAACTCTACCAACGTTGATTTATCGAATGTTGTTGCATTTGATGCACTCTAATCTCTACCGACGCAAGGTAAAAAGACATTCATAAACTATTATTAGTCCACGAGGTTGTCTAAGCATATAAACACGCTCTTATATTTTCTAATATATATGTAAAATTCAATTAGTCCTAAACTATATTTTGAAAAGCCAGAAAAAGACAATCAACATGTCTCTCATTCTTTTCAATAGAGTTTTGGTAGCCACGTCTTTATACCTAAACCTTAGTTTCGAGAATATGTTCAATTCATAAGATATTTTGTGTTCTAAATTTCTATTTTTTTTTTATTATTCTTCTTTTCACTACCCTTTTCAGTGCCGTCTCAAATTATCTACAGGACCTTTGCAAAAAAATATTAAAGATATATTTAATAAAAGAATAAAGAAGTTTAATTTTTATAGCTCTATTTATATATATTTGACGTTTCTTTTGAACTTCTAAGCTCTTAAATTTAATATTATATTAATAAAATTTACACCATAGTTTATATATTTATTTTAAAAATATTTTTTTATTTTATTGTATTTTGTTAGT